TGAGAGCTCTCATGAATGCAATGGTTCATAGCCCGAGTGCAATACTCCAGTATGTACAAAAACGAAACCAAACCAGCCAGCACACTCAAACACTGATAGCAGTGCCCCTGTGAACTACTTTTCTATAAATAACACAGCACATTAAATCTCTTTTTAAGTCCATTGTTGAAGGAAAAGCAACAGCTCTAGTGACAGATCCAAGGCTACAGACTTGAAATTACTAGTTTTTACCCTGGAATAATTTGAGTTTGTATGTTTTACACTTCAAAATGTGCTTGCACACCCTAAATCCATCCTTTACAAAGATATCAAGTTTTGAATTCTGTCAGCCCTTACTGCCAGATTCCAACTGTATTCCTACAAGCAACCTACCCCCCAGCAGAGATTGCTTTGGTTGACCTGCTACAGCATTATAATCCGGAAGATGAAGAGATGCAAGTCTCAATTTAGCACCACCTCTACTATCAGCATTTAATATTTTAATTACTTTTTCTGAAAGGAAAACCACTAGTGTTGCACAGGCACCTAAAATCAATTTTTGTATTGATAAAAACAGAAATTTGCCATCTTTTCCAGGACTGCACTAAAATGAGAGGAATATTCCTGAAGTCTATAGAAGAATGGGTCTGAAAGAGTCTTTGGAAGAAAGGGTCTGAATAGGCCTTTGGAAGAAAGGGTCTGACCCTTACTTATGCTTCACTGCAAGTGAAGACTTGCCTATTTAATATTTGAGTATTAATATCTGAGTATTATGATGCCATATGTTATCAGATAAAGAAGTTCAAATTTGGTTCTTTAATCAAGGAAAGTGCTCAATAGGTGAAAACTCTATATTCTAAAACTTACCACAGATGTTCATGGGAGCCCTAAAAATCAGGATTTAGCCCTATATAATTTTCACTTAGTGGAAGGTTTTTAAATACCTCAGAGTTCTACAAACTGCCTGAGATTTTAAGTTTGGTTTTTTTTTTTTTTTGTAACAAATTAGCACTATAGTTTAGACATGCTTGATTTTCTTAAAATTAAAACTTAGAACTTTTGCAAATATGACACAAGACATATTTTTAAGCTAAATCCATTTCCAAATTCTTCATTGACAGACATTCAAATGAATGCATTTTTATCATTCCAATGACAAATAGAAAAACCTGCCTTTCTCTTATGGGTATTATATAGGTCTACAGAAATTACATGTTTCTGAGGATCCAAAATTACTTTATAAATATTATGCTCATTCCTCTAGATGTGATTCAAAGGATGGAACATTTACTAGGCAGTGTCTGTAACAAGGTGATCACAGGAAATTTTACACTCATGAACACCAACAAACTTAAGGCAGACACAGATGTCACATAAATCTGATGGGAAACTGCAGAAAAACTCTATAAAAATTAATTCCCTGAAAACCTCTTGAGGAACATCCATTGCCTCTTGTATGTGTAAGTAAAAAAACTTAATTAACTTTTTTCTTAATTCAGAAAGTCCTCTGTGATTACTTAGAGAGAAATTTATGGGTACATAATTCTGTTTCTCCACCCACTCCCTAGAATGGAATTTACATTTTAATGGTTTAATTGAAAGAGTGGACAGAACCCCCAGAATTCATTTCAGTCACACCTAAAATAAATCTGCCAACTGAACAATGAAAAGGAAAAAAAGCCTGCTATGTCAGAAAAGCAAAATTCTTCATATTAGTCAATCCCAACGTTTCAGAACAAAGTAATGCAAATCCTACTGTATGCCAAGAAAATTAAGATAATATAATTCTGCATTAAGAAAATTACAAATCACTTAATTTAATAATATGTAAAAATAGTACTACTTCTGGAGACTCAGGTCTAGAGATCAGGTACCTTTGCTTAAAGGACGCAAAATGATGAGGGAAGATTAGGGTTGCAAGAGGCCTTATAAGAAAAGATAAAGCCAACCTTCAAATTTAAGGTATTTATTTTTACTAACACCAGTAGGGATTACTTCCACATAAATCTTAAGTCTTTAGAAGAATGAGGTAGAAAAAAAGAAAAAGAAGTCCTGCACTTTGAATTTCTGATGCATTCTTACATTTACAAACATCAAAGTAATGAAGTAATGAAACATAACAGATGTTAAAATGCAGTGCCTGAAAGTCACCTTGAAACACTTTTTAGATGATTTGCCACTTACACTACACTTAAAAGTAGATTTATTCCACATGGCTTGGAATTTAAGAGTCTGTAGCCTGAAACTTGGAGTGTATTGAAGGGAAAGCCCTACACAAAAAGCAAGCAAGCAAACAAACAAAATAACCCAGCTGAAAAAATTCTGAGTATCAAGACTGGTTTAACAAGAATTTTTCTCTTTCGTTGTTAAAACCAAATTAGTTTTCCTTGAGCAGAAAGAACTTCCCTGTAAGGGTACTTGAGCATGAAGCACTGCACAGAGGGGCAGCAGCAGATTACACCACAAATGAGGCTATCGGGCACTGCACACACAAATCACACCTCGTGTACCTGAACATGGGCAGGAAGGCACCGTGAACTTTACATTTAAGGACTCACAGAAAGTGTTTCCATCATACCACAAACCTTTTCCCATTTGGTGTTGCAAGCTTTCCTGGAAGCTGGATTTTCAGTAGGAACCCAGCCAAGCCCTCAGCAATTCCGTAAAGATCTGGGGAGTTATTGCCCTTAAGATTGCAACTCAATTGTTCCTCTGGAGCAGAAATATGCTAAATAGCATAACTGCATTTTGGCATCTCTAAATCTGTATGGTTGTCACCAGCCTGACACCACAGAAGCAGCTAACAGTGCCTAGACAGCAGATACTCTTCACCAAGCCCTAGTAGTAGCTGTGTCACTTGGAAATAAATGTGAAGGAGCTGGCCCAACAGCCCATGGTTGTTTTCAAAGACATAAAGAAAACAGCCAAGGAGCTCCTAATCAATTGCAAAAGAACTAAAGCTGCACTGGGAGGTCTAGTGAGGCATGGTCGGATCACTCTGTCTCCAAATCCTCATGGAGGTTTCTGTGTGAATGTGACAGAAGCAAATGTGTCACCTGGTATGCTCAGTTTTCAACCATTCCAAGTAGAATCAAACTGGTAGGAAGCCTTAAACTTAATTATAGCAATGGTCAGAGAAAGATTTGGATGAAAACAAATCCAAAGGCGACAGACCCTATTTTAATGCCAATTGTCTCTATCTGGTGTGCATATGACGCACCCATCCCCTCAGCTGAGCTACAGTAAAACATCATCTCAGCTTCAATGTCCCAGACTAACAGCAGAAAGTGTTATTGGTGGAACAATTCACACAGACACACTGAGGTACAGAGCACATAAACTTATCTCCTGTGTTTAATTGTCTTCCTTTCAAATATGCTTAAAAATCTCTTTAAGAGGCTCTGAAAAAAGGCTCTGGGATTATCTATCCTTCACTGAGCTTCCAAGCATCACCTGTTTGAACTTTACTGTGATTTTCTTCTTTCAGATCCTACCAGCATGAGGATCACTACTGCACTCAACAGACATTGTCTGCCCTGCAGTCTGTGTTTGAGGATGGTCAGCAGTCTGCTTCCAGTATTAGGGAGTGAGAAACTGATAGCGCCTGAAGGAAAAACAAGGAAGTAAATACAACACTTGCATCAACATTTACTTTAGACAATCAAGCCATGGATGTGGAGGCACTCAGCTCATGGTCATATAATCAAAAAATACGTGTGAAAGAGCAAAATCTGAAGAACAAAAAGGCAAACAGCCAGTAAGTGCTGAGAACAAAAACTATTAAGCAGCTCTAATGAAACTGGTGTTCAAGCACTGTGACAAACACTACCCAAAGGTCCACTAAAATGCTGCAGTAAGGTGGCAAAAGATGCATTCACAGTGTGCGATTGAGAGGCAAAAAGAATCGCTAAGACAGTAAGGAAAAACTGCTTACGAGATAAACTAGAGTCTCCTGACAAGAACCAAAGCTGCAGGCAGAGCTCATCATGACAACATCCCAGAGCAGAAGGGTGGGCTCAGGCGCTGAGGTATCAAGATGACACAATCAACCCTCTTACACAAATCAGAAGCCTCAAAACTCCTAAAATCTTTAAAGACCAGATTTACAGAAAGTTGTTTAGATGCCTGAAGATTCTGAGAGATTTCCAGGAATACTTCAACGCCTACCTCCTTTTATAGTAACAGATACTAGGTGCCCATGCACCTCTGAAAAATCACGTAGGATATTTCACAACTGAAAGATTCTGGACAATGTTTGAAAACTTGGCCATGTACAGTTTGGCTTTGGAAGCAGAAGAGCAAAGAACTCACAGCCAGGATTTCTAAACCTCCGGGCTAGAGAACTACTCGAAGGGTTCTCCTGTTGATAGAGGCACCCATTTTCTGGTACAGGGAAGGAAGGCAGGCCCCTGCTGCTCCTCTGAACTAATTCTGAAATCTCCTTTTGTATGCGCCATCATTGAGGACATCACCAGCGCCACACACGGCTGTCAGTGCTGCGGCACAGGGATGCTCGGGCAGGGCAGCCAGGTGAGGGGGCAGATGAAGGAAGGGGGAAGATGAAGGCAGGTTCGAGTAGGAAAAGGAAGGAGAGGGCAGGTCCTGCCAGGAGGGACAAGTGAGGGCAAGTGAAAGCAGGAGGAAACAGATGAAGCTGCAAGAGGTGGACCTCGAAGGGCCCATCCCTGCAGCCACGCTCCGGCCGGGCTCTACCTCCCGCTCGGCCAGCGCAGCTCCTGGCTGTGCCCGGGCCTGGCAGGGCTGTGCCCGGGCCCTGGCAGGGCTGTGCCCGGGGTAGCAGGGCTGTGCCCCGGGCCTGGCAGGGCTGTGCCCCAGCCAGCAGGGCTGTGCCCCAGCCAGCACCAGCACCAGCACCAGCCCCGCTCCGGCCCGGCCCGGCCCCGCTCCCCGCCGGCGCGGCCTCACCCGGATGCGGATCCGGCCGCCCCCCCGCTCCTCGCGGCCAGGTCACCTTGATGCCGCCCGGCTGAATTGTCTGTCCCCAGGCTGGGTTCTCTCACCTTGTGTAAACGCAACTGATGGCGTCAGATAACTTGTAAAATACGAGTTGCTTAATGAAGGAAACAACCTTCTGTTTGAAGCATTGCGTAAGATTGCATCACGGGATAAATATGCATTAGGTAGGCGGAGAGCGTGGATTAGATAGGCGGGTCCATGTGAATTTTGCTTTATAAAAGATTGCAAGTTATTACCACCTGAGCGTGGCTTGTGGAAAGCCCCACTGTGCGCCCTTTAGAGAACGAACAGCATTTATTCTGTAAACTTTCTAGAGTGCTCTGTTTGTGTTTAGGCAGCTCCTAAAGTGGGGACCAGCCCCCGCAGCGCTGCGCTCATCCCGGCCGGGCGCCCGCCGCTCGCTGCTCCTTCCTGCCAGGGAGCTCTGGAATCACGGCTGGCATCACCCCTGGCATCACCCCTGGCATCACCCCTGGCATCACCCCTGGCCCTCCATGGAGCCTCTGCCCTTTGGTTCCCGGTCCGTGATTGCTCGCCCAGCCCCACCGTAGGCTCGGTGCTTGGCGGAGCACCAGCGGTGTCTCTCTAGTGTCATCCCAGAATTGCAAGATCCCGAAGGTTGGAAGGGACCTCTGGAGATCATCCAATCCAACCTCTCTGCCAGGACAGAGGTGGGTCTGGAATGTCTCCAGAGAGGGAGTATCCACACCCTCCCTGAGCAGCTGGTCGGTGATCTGCCATCCTCAACGGCAAGAAGTCCTTCTTCATGTTAAAATGAAACTTCTCGTGTTTTCGTTTATGGACTTTGCTCCTCATGCTGTCAATGGGTACCACTGGAAAGAGTTTGTTCTCTGCTCTTGGCACTCCTTTGAGATATTTACCTGCATTAATGGGGTCCCCTCTCAGTCCTCTCTTCTCCAGAATAAACAGCCCCAGCTCCTTCAGTCTTTCCTGAGCAGAGACCGGCTCCACACTCATCACCTTTGTGGCCCTTCTCCAGTAGCTCCTTGTCTGTCTTGTACTGAGAAGCATGGAAATGAATCAGGAGCTGGCAGGACAGTGAGGATCACGCCACCCCTGGGCTGAGCAGGAGGCGATCAGCCTTTGTGCCATTTTATGAGAGGACGTGGCATAAAGAGGCCAAAGTAAGGGCAAGCAGCTGAACTCTGAATTCATTGAGATGAACTGGGAAAACAACTGGTTAATTTCACTACCAAACCTCTTTTGTGAACAGAACTGTGTCAGTATCTAGTAGAAAGATAATTAATGAACAATAGATTAAAAGTCATAGAATGAAAAAGATGCAACATTATGCCACTGGAGCAGTACCTTGCAGCAGTTTCCTATTCCATACTAGGTGAAGAAACATAAGACCACAGAATTACAGACTGATTTGGCTTTCAAGGCAGCTGAAAACTTCCAGGTCCACCCCTGCCATGGGCAGGGACACCTTTCCACTACCCCACACTGCTCCAAGCACTGTCCAACCTGGCCTTGGACATTTCCAGGGACAGGGCAGCCACACCTTCCCTGGGCAACCTGTGCCATGGCCTCACCAAAATATTATTAAAAATGAAGAGATATTATGGTGTAGGTTTTGTGTCCCATTATACCTGATTGCTGTGTTCCCAAAGGTAGCTATAGGACATGATTTTTTTGAGCGGTAAATAGCATGCGACTTTATCAGTCTTCTAAGATATACCATGGGGAAAAAAGCTTGTGCCTATGTGCTGAGCACTATAAAATTTGACATTTTGATAGAAGTTTCTGAAACATTCATACTCAGCAGGTAAAAACAGCAATTAAGGGCTTGTTTTCTGCATTAGTTAATCTTCTTCTGCAGTGTTATCCCAGCTAAAGACCATTACATCAGTCACTCAGATAGCAGAATTTCTTCTTGTATGTAAAGGGGAAAAGGACTCCCTAAAAACACCTTCTCAGTATTCTATATTAATGTTGGTACATTCCATAGGTTTTATAAAGTTTTAGTCAGTAGTTATTTGGTTGGTTTCTGTAATGCTAAAAGTGAATGTTTAGATTCTCAGGACTTCTGGAGGTTCTTTCCAGGGTGGTGTTCAAACCTGCTCTGAGGTCTGGAGTGCCTGCTCCTGTTTTGTCAATAAATTTAAGATTTCACTTCTTTTTACTATCAATATATTATTCTCTTTGTACAGATTAATGTAAATTTGGATTACTGAAAGCAGTAATCCATAAGTATATTAAGTTCATCATCAATGTATTCTTGTATTGCATCTCTGTAGCATGTTACTTTTCTGTTTTAGAATTTGCTATACTGTTTTTTGCAGAAGGAATAAATATATTCTCAACAAAAATCCAAGAAAAAGTAGCTCTTACCAAGCCAAATTAGATAATTGCAATTTCAGTCTGTCTTTAAAGCACAGCTTTGTCTTTTGGGTTCTGAAAATTAGTATTTAATACACATAACTTTACACTTTTCTTCTTACCTAAAGAAAAATGTCCCCTCAAAATGTAGACTCCTCTAATTAGCTTATTTTCTCAATTTTGAAATTTAGTAGAAGTAAATGTATTCCTTTTTACAAATTATTAGTATTATTGTTGTTGTTGTTGTTGTTTATTTTTCCTGAGTTTAGTTAATCTTTTATAATGGCCAGTATCAGATTTCCTGACTTTTTTTTTCCATGTTAGAATTTGGTAGATGAGAAAAATGAAAGCATTTTTGTTTTGATTTTCCCTTGAAGCGACTGAATTAATTTTGTATCTTCTATTCTTAATTTATATACCAGGAGCACAAGAGGAAAGTGTGCCTAGTATATTAGAACTGTTCCAAAAAAGAATTCAAATATTAAGTTTTTTTGTGTATGATTATATTTAACTTGTCCAAAAATCCATTTCAACATCTCTTCCACACAATTTAGATCTTTGTAACACAGGCCTCTATCTCTGGTTGGGATTTTTTGTTTATTTATTTATTGGGTTTTTTTAAGGCTATAATTTTTGTATTTTTGGGCTTTTTTTAAGTCTATAATTTTTGTATTTTTGGGGTTGTTTGTTGGTATAATTTGTATTTTTGGTTTCCTTGGGGGTCTGATGTGGTTTTGTGTTGATAATAGTCTTCCTCTCTTCCCTACTGATTTGCCACTGTTGTCCTTGAAACAAGCTGCTCTTGGTCAATCTACTTCAATCTTTTCTTCATCTGACCTGTCTCAAGGCACCCATAAACTCACTTTGAAAATCTCACTGGATTCCTTATATTTTAGGAGTATTTCTTGTTGTAGCACACCCTGAGGAAATAGAACCAAAATTTTATTACTGTCCTGCACTGCATTTCACCGAATACCCCAGTTTGGTCAGACTGTCAGTATAAATTGCTGGCATTTTTTTTCCAAAGCAGTACTGATTCTTGATAGCCACTGTATTTTGGGAAACTGAAGGGCGAAGAAGCAAAACAGAAACAAGAAAATTCATTTGTCTCAGCCTGAGACTCATTCCTTGAAGAGGACAATTTAATAAGTGCAAATTCAGCAAGTAGAGAAAAAAGCAAGAGGCGAAAACACATTGCAAATTATACACTGATTACAGCTTTTAGAAGGAATCAGGAAGAAGAAGCTGTATGGGGGGGCTTGTATTTTTGCTTAAGGTTGCATGTAGTAAATTGCAAAAGTTGATAGTTTATATTTTTTAGCTGTACTCAGCTTTAAACTATGTTTCTCTCTAAAGCTTTATGAAATATGAAATAGACTTTTCATAATACTGAAAAATAGAAGGTCCAGTATAATTGCACCCAAAATAGTTTGAACCAATCTATGATCAAAAACCATCTTAATTTGGGCTGAATGTTATTGTTTTGTCTCCTAGAGAGCAAAGTTTATAGAGATTCCTGTCAGTTCTGGAACTTTTTTTTTAAAATTCATTCAGCCTTACATGGTAACACTGGGTGGTTATAAATAGGTGGGTGATACCCCCCCTTCATTTAAGCATTTTTTGAGCATTATGAAGCCAGTCATATTTGTGGGTCTTCCAAAGGAAACAATGTTTGTAATGCTGTTAGACTGGAGGCTTTTTTAAAATCCTAGTAGAGAAATAAGCAAAACTGCTAAACAAGCATGATTTTTTAAATAGATATGGATTGATTTACCACTATTAAATTAACCTACAGTGCTGACTTCCATACTGAGGGAAGTTGGTGATAGAACACAACAAAATGAAGTATTTACTTTTCTTACCCTGAAGCAGGTGGAGACAATGGGGCGTGGGACAGAGAGATTCTTTGTATGAAAGGTAACCTTTTTTATTTTTCTTTTAGATACAGCCAAGCCTTATGGAATCTAAAGTCTTTATTATCCACTGTTTAGTGATCAGCAGGGAAGAATGGACCAAATTTATCTATTTGCCAAACTGCCATTTCCACAAGAACCAACATCCTCTCTCATTCTTGCGGTCACTAGTAGGAGCAATGTCCAGTCAGCTTGAAAGGGCAGGAGAAGAAAATGTTGTATTAACTATGCAGGTAGCCATCATGTGTAGGGTAATTTAGTCGGTTTCAACTTAAACCTCTGATTTTTACCCTACTCAAGTACTCACCTACTTCAGACCTCACAATTGGCAATAAAGCAAGAAGTGTATTTGTTGCTGGACCACAATCCAGCTTAGCAAAATTCTGCCACCCTTTTCTACTTGCTAAAAAAACCCACAGTCAAGGCATAGTTGCTTGTCTTTTAGGGTTTTAGAGAAAAAAAACATAGTATAGAAATCACTGTCATTTCCTTTCAAAAAGATTTACTAAAAGTAGACAGTTAAAGCTCTTACTGTAAAACAAAAGCCACTATAGAGTAACATTTCTCCTCTATCTATTAAAATACATTTCTTCTCTTAGGTGACAGTAGCAGAACCCAGAGGCCACATTCTAAAGCATTGTTTTTTGTTGTTTTTTTTTCCTCCACCATTTATAAAATCTGTTTATTGGCAGAAATGCCAAGGTTTCTGCAGCTTCACCAAGAATCATTCTGGTAACGTTGAACCTGCCATCTTGAGTCATGCAGTCCTGTCCCTGCAGTCAATTAGTAATATCTGCCTAACTGATCTTCTGTAATTATCACAGCTTTTGTGCTTCTAAATAAACACTGTACTAGGTAGCTTGTTTTTTTTTTTCTGGGTTGGGTGTTTTTGTTT